CTGGCAGCTTTTGTAGGTTTTGTGTTTTGTGTGAAGTGTGTGTTTAGCATTTCTTTGACTTTACTGTTTCTTATTATTTATTGAACTCGTTTTTCTCTTTCCCTGTCGCCCTTCTCCTTTGTTTGCTGTTGTGTTTGTGCTACCGTGCCATTGTTATTGAAAAATTTAGCGGAAATGGCTGTATACGCGGAAGTGAATTGTTAGTATTGAAGATGAATTGCACTAACCGCTGTTCTATACGTTTTACTTAAATCGTGACAAAGTTCTGCACACGTACACTTTCATGGGCTACATTGTGTAAGGGTTTCAAGCTTAGAGAATTCATTACTAGTGCAATTTATGAAGTACTTTTTAATAATATTGGTGGGAATTTGTAGACTAAAATAATATCTAACACGCCTATTATTTTTCATTTCATTAAATTCAAAATCGATGCCTAGATCCTAATTATATTAAAAAATGCACCATTTGAGCGTATACTTTCTGAAATTGTTATTGATCGGGACAGGAAACTAATACAATCAAATTTTAAGCTTAGCAATAAATTTGTGAATATAACCTAAACTCTTAGACAATTAAAAATTGTACAATTTAATTTTACTAATAAAACTCTGACTGCTGAACCAAATTTTTTTAAACTGTCTCACCAAGCTCAAGTTTTTCAAGCTTCACAATAATCTTAAAAGTAGTAAGCTTAGAACTTCAAAATATACTCGTACATATTTTTTAATTATCCTAGTGATTAAAGATGACCAGGTTAGAAATTATTGAGCTATAAATATACCACAACTCCAGCTAATATATAGTTAAAAAAAAAAATGTTGCAAAACATCGTCCAGTAGCTGTTAGTTAACACCAAGATATACTAGCCCTTAATACTTATACTAATTTACATCAGCCTCAAAATACTACTAATTGAAACTTAATACTTAGTATGTACACCCCGGCCATCCTGACCAGAGAGCTTCTAACCTCTATTTTGGATTTTACACTACTATTGTAATTAAATTTGTTTGCCATTTATATTTATAATTTTCTTTATTCTATAAAAATTGTTTATATGATGTTATTGACTGTTGAAACCCTTAAACGTCTCGTTACAGAGTTGTGTATTCTTTAATACCAATATTGCATGAAAAAAGGAATTTTACTAGAAGCATTAGCCTATGGGTCTATATTAATAAATAAAACATTCTTTTAGAAAACAACTTTTTGGAGGAATTATTTAAGTAAGATCGTTGGGAAAATGTACGATTTATCTTAAAGCGATTACTGCTCTCTTTTCTTATTCATCATCACATAAGCATGATTTAAAATTACTTGCAGTCTTAAAATTCTGATAGAGTGATCACTTATATAATAATGTTGTGTTAAATAATAAAATAAATAAAAACAAATCTGAAAAAATGTATATACAATCTTGACAGTACGTTTTAAAATCTGAATATGTGATCTAAAAGTTGTTTAATTCAGTAAATATTTAGTACATATCACAATAACTATAAACAAAACAGCAGCAATTAAAGTATTCGACCAACATGTTCCCATTTTTCCTTTTCATTAAGTAGTTTTAAGTACTACTTTTATTTGTATCGATTTATAGAAATGTTACTGGGCCTTCTTTGCGAACATTTTAGTCAGTTACCGTCGCCAAATACATGTGGGTATAAAAAATTTCTAGCTGGCGCTAACATCGAAAAATTATCGCTCGTGTCTCTTGGAACGTGCGCCAAAGTGTTGTGAAAGAATTTCCACGAACTACCACGAATGGTGTGCGCGCAAAGAGCCTAAAGGCCTCAATTGCAGGCTCTGTGGTATTTAGTCTGTTGCGACGGACAAGCTCATAACTCAACTGCTAAAACGATGCCGGGACCGGACCGGACCGAACCGGCCGCCTTACCAAGACCAACAGCTGTTTTTGCAGCAGCAGAGCAGCTGAAAATGTGCCGCCTAAAGCGAGGAATTCATGAAACACCCTGTTACAGACATAAATTCACACACACACACACGGCTTACTCACACGCCATATTTAAGCACCGCCCCCTTTTTATGAGTGAGTGTTTCGAGTCACTCGAGTAGTTGTTTTCGAGTCACAATTTCTGAGCACTTCGAGCAGAGCGCCGACGCAGAGCAACAATAACAACAACAGCAAGAAAACAAAAATGCCGCGCACTGTTGGTCATAAAAAGAAGTCAACGATGACGACCAAACAACAACAACAGAAGCAAAAAAAAACAATGTTTTGCTGCTTTTTTTTATGGCTTTTAAAACAAAATGGCAACCAAAGCCATTGGGGAAAAGTAAGAAAATAATAACAAAAAAAAAAAGAGGACAGAGAAAATGTCGAGCTATGCCAGTCAAGCGTCTGAAAAACTGTAAAAAGCAATGCATCAAGCTGTCGAGACTGAGACCGCCGCCATCACGACGACCAACCAACCGACCGACCCCTCTCTCGACGCTCTCTTTGGCGCCGCTTGGACGTTTGTTTGACTTTTCGCATTTTGATTTTGAGGCAGCAGCAGCAGCAGCATAAACAACAAGAACATCGGCGACAACTTTTTAAGTGATGCTCACCACACATGCTCCGTTGCACGCGTCACTCGTCGCTCCTCGCTCCTCGCTCGTTGCTCCCCACCCTGCTTCCCTTGCCAACTTATCGTGCTCCCTACGCGTACGGAGAGGGAGGAGAGGATGGTTGTGAAAAATATTTATGCAAGTCAAGCGCCGAGCATTTATGAACTGTCAAACATTCTCAACGCAATTCCAATGATTTTGATACTTTAACATTTTCGTAAAATGGTAGAAGTGTCAGTCCATTCATGGGCGTCGGCAGGCGGGAGCGGCAAAAAGCAGAGGGCACACACACACACACACACACACACACACACTCCCATACATGCATACAAATGTACGTACATAAATAGAGAGGCTGACTGTCGGCCATATGTGTGCCGGTCTTTCACATATTGGCGGCGTCAAATTGGCGGTGTTAGTGCACGTTGTGGGTGTTTTCCATGTGGCAAGGAGCTCGTATTGCTATCGCTGTGACTTGAATGTTGCACGCGTCGTATGAGTAATTTGAATTGAGTGAGTGAGGGGTTGTTCCATGTACATGCATACATAATACGGTATATGTGTATTAAAGTCGTCGTATGGGAATTGACATAGTAATGAAGAATTTCCGTGCACACTTTAAAGACAGCTTAAAGTATTGGCCAAGGAAAATATAAAACGCAATTAATTTAAAAGGTACAAAAGAACGAATTGGAAAAGCAGCTTGAAGTACTGCATTGAAGTAATACATTGAATAGCGTCCCTAGATTAACAAAAAATATATTCCCTAAGAAAGCTACGTATAGCGTGAAGAATTAGTTTTGATATTATTAGATTAATATGTAAAAAAATAAACTAACCAGTAAAAACACGTCTTGAGTTGCATCGAATCAAAATTTGGATAAATTTAGACAAAGTTGTGTTTCACGATTTCAAAGAAATCTATAGGCTATGGCTAGTTAACAAATTGAATCAAATTTTCCCATCACGAACATCTGAAAGTGGTAACTCATGTAAAACGACCGACTGAATCAAATCCAACAAATAGCACGGCTGTTAGAAATTCATTAAAAAAATCACTATTTTATTCCAGTTATTTAAAAATAAGTACATACTTGTACCTATATTGGTAATAGATTTAAAAGGTATTGATTGGTATTAGAGTTGAATGTATTAGAAACAAAATAAATGTGATTTGATTAAAAATTGTTGTTAACTTTATAAGTTATTGCCATTGAAGTTAAAATCGATCTTAAAAAATTTGAATGGAGATGGGCAATTAGTATTTGATGGGCATGCTAATCGCAGTATATTTATATATACCGGTATATAAAATAATATCGATATTCTTCCTCCTTTCTTTAGGTGAAGGGTGTACTGATTGAAGTTGTATAAAAGCGTGGCATGCTGATTGAACATTTGAACCCACATATTATTATTTTCTTCGCGCTAATTTTCATACTGTTTCCTATAACTACACGACATCATCTAATATCTGAATTTGTTTCGAAATGTTGCAGTAAATGTTAGTTGTCGTCGAATCAATTGTAGAAGTGTGTATTATCCCACAAGTGTTTGATGCTGGAAATGATAATTTTGTTTATGGATGAACATAGAAGAATATCTAATCCTATATTTACTCTACAAGTAACTAAATAATACGATTAATATTAGTACAACTGCTTTCAAAATAATGGAACTAGTTTTAGATTCGTTCAGTTAACGCAATAATAGAATTTGTCGGCATTTCCATCAAATTTGTATCAAAACGGATGAGTTATTATTGTTCATAAATGATGAACGCCGGCGTATGTGGAAAAACTTGTAGCAGTTGTTCAAATGCCACGTTCCAATACAAACTGTAAACAGCCTTATTATTGAAATGGAAAGCGAACCCATTGTATAAATAAAATATACTTCGCGAATAGCTTCATTTTTCTCAAATTTAAATAAATCGTTGCATAAAAAACCCTTCAATTCCTTTATAAGATAACCTTACTTTCAAACAGCGGATATTTATGGGAAATAATAAAATTTTTTTTCTAAATCTTTATTTTTTATTTAAGATCTGTCCTAGGTTGGACAATTATTTAATTTTATGATAACATTGACATTTTTGTAATAATGCTCTTATCCTGATGGGTGCGGCGTGATTCGAATCTGGGAGCGTTTTTCACTTCCATTTTACCTTCATAGGTGCAGCCCAAAAAAAAACTTTATGTTACTGTAGTATTCTGTTACTATATGGCCACTTCATGGGCTGAAATCCACGAAATGTTATAAAAATGTCTGGTTGCAGATTTAAACGCCAGTTTTGAGCTACAACGTGGCTGAACTGAACTTGATATGTAATTTTGAAACTCAACATCTTGACTTGACAAACTAGTCAATAATTTCCCCCAAACTGTTGAGAGACACGTCCCAATTAAAATTTACATAGCAGTAATATGTCTGATTGTCAAAATCTGGTCAGTCTGCGCACTTCCGAAGATGTCCTACACAAAATTCCTGTGCATCTCTGTCTCCAAATGGCCACCATTCGCAATTCGCTTGCTTGCGAACATTTTAGCGATACAGACATCGTTATTCCATTGCCTTACGTTTCTTCGCAAATCCTTGAGTTCGTGATCAAATGGTGCGAAGCGATAGAGAAACAGGATACTGAACTGGAAAGCATGCAGCTGTCTATCTTGCTTATGGCCACACTGCCAGAGCTGGAGGAAAGTGAACTCATCTATGATCTGATGAAAGCCGCCAGCTATTTGGAAATCAAAAGCCTTGTGGAGGCGACAGCCCAGCATGTGGCCAACAAGATTAATGCCTGCAACAACCTCGAGGATGTTCGAAAGCTCTTCGGTGAAGAAAATGACTTACCGCCCGATGATGAGGAAGAAGAATAGTCGTAAAAAACGAAGTTTATTGTCTCCAAAAAAAAAAAAGAGCTGTGGATCCGCTGCTTGAACTGTTTGCTTATCTCAATTTATTTAGATGTTTTATTTTCAAACACAAATATTGTATGATTAATACTAATTTTTAACCATATTGAAGTCTGTCTCTTGCCCTATTCCTAATTCTTAGCTATGAGTTCAATATTCGGTTCCAAGATAATACACTTTATTTACATTTACTGCAAAGGATGAAAATGTGATTTCTTACACAATTAAAAAAGCAATTCTTCCAAAATGAAAAAAGGTCGAATGTCAAAGTAAATCTATGTATATGTACAATAAAAAAAAAAATTAAATAATTGAGCAGATATAGCGGCCTTAAATTCATCAGTACTGAGAAGTATCAAATATCATGTTCTTGATTATATATTTGAATTAGCAATAAAACCGTTTCTTTAAATAATAAAACCCAATTTTTTCTTTTCTATACAGTTTTCATCGAACCTTTGTCTTAATATATCCCCATATACGAAAGGTTAAAAGTGTTGGTTCTAGATTCAATACCTAAACACAGTTCCACAAGCAATCAAAACCCTATTAAGATGAAAAAGTATATATTGTAATAATAGATGTTCAATCATTTTACAACTTATGTACTTGGAAACATTATTCGTTATTTGCTATAACTCTAGAGGTGAATTAGGATATGGTAATTGCTTCAATTGGGAACATTAATCAATCGAAAAAATAAGCTAAGCGAGCTTAGTAAAGCATAAATTATTGGAGCACTCCAGCCTTTTAGGTTGCATTAGTGAAATCAACTTTTAAGGCAACGAAATACTCAGTTTGAACAGCGAACATGAAACAGGTTTCTGTGAAAAAATTGACAGGTACGAGTATTTTTTTCTTCACCTCAGCAACTCATGTAGCGCTCTGACGCCAGATGCAGGTCCTGGCAGAAGTGGTGCAATTATTTAGCACCTAGAAGCTGTCGAGTTCCCACAAAGGCGCTTCACGCCAATCAACCACCATAAAGGCTAAGCCAATATCGTAAAACCAAATGTTGAACTTCATTAGAATTAAGCCAAGTTCAAAGGTGGGAAAAGATAAAGTAAATAGAAAATAGTAACAAAGCGCTAAGTCAAAAGATAGCGCCATGGCTGGACATGGCGGTGGAGATGGCGTCAAAGTCAAATTCCAAGGCGTTAAGTTAATCGTGTGAAATGGCGAAGATTTCTGTGAAATCGTAGCAGCACAAAAAAAAAGAACATAAAATAGAGGTGAAAGAAAACAGAAGGGCTGCCTTTTAATTGTATTTTTAATTTTCATGCATTTTTACAACGCTTTGAACAATTTGGCGTTAACGTTTAAATCAAATATGGCGCAATGCTCGAGAACGAAAGCAAAAAACTGAATAAAAGTGAAAAAAAGCTGCTGTTCAACATATTTCTGAACCATTGGACGATAGCAGCAACAGCAGCAGCAGCTTCAGCCTCATTTGCATGCCAGGCGCCATGGCAGGTGGACAACGGATCGTGGGGGGAGGTGCGAGTAGCAAAAGCAAAAGCAACAGCAGCACTAACAGGATATGCCAGTGAAGCACCAATAATCCTTTTAATAAATATGATATCGCAAAGGACCAAAAAAGCCACACTGGTGGTGGCGTCGCTGATGCCCAACGTTGGAACGTTGGCGTCAACATTTTCGGCTCTGCCGCTGGCTGCGTTGGCATCATTTGCATTTTATGCAAATTTCAGTCAGGCGAACCAACGAACGCACCGAAGGATACACAGAGCCAGGCACACACACACACACACACTCACTCGCACTCACAGACATACAAGTAGAGTGAAAGAGAAGAGGGAGTAGTACGGGGAGCGACACACACACACACAGACACACACAAAGCGCAATATATAAATGAAAAGTGCTCATGTTTTTCTTGCCTTTTTTCTTCTTACTCCTCAGCTGCTGCGGAAAGTTGGCAAAGTAAACAAAATAAAAATGCGCAAATGGAAATGAAAATTCAAAAATGCATATTTTCTGCTTGCTGTTTGTTGCAAAATAATGTCGAATATTTTGACAGGCATATAAATACACACACACACACACATACACAAATCTCACACATATGGTTGTACAAATACACACAAACACTCACACACAACGTTACAACTTTTGTACATATTTACATGCAAATTGTTTGCTTTAAAATATTCACTCACACACACGCTCAGAAGAATTTTTATTTCACTTTGGCAAATAAAATAAAGAAAAACAAAATCAAAGCTCACATTTCGAGAGTTTGGCCAAAAGTTTTACGCATCTAGAAATTGCATCTGCTTTTGGGTAACAACATTCTTTCGTAAAAACTGCGCTATTTGAGAATGCCGAGCACGTTCGATATCTAAATGACCTAAATATTGTCAAGAAGATGGTATCACAACTTGGATGAATGGAAATTTGGTTTTTAAAGTTTTTGTGCAGAAAAATTTCAACGTTAACTTTTTACATTTCTAGTAAAGAAATACTTATATCTGATTAGTTGGAGAACAGACTTTCTATTACATTTTCTGCCAAAGCATAGAAAATTTATTTCTTTAGATTTTATATCCAGTTACAAATCACACATTTATATAATTGATAGAATAGTTCACATCAAATTAATAATATAATGGGATAATGTATTTTGTAGAAAGACCTGTTGCTATTATTTAAATAGAATTGTACAATTTTGTGGGTTTAACGAAGGAGATAAGGGATTATATCTTTGCTACTTTAAATAGAGATATTGCATAGATTCTACATACATTTAGAAAAAACTATTCTAGCCTTTCTATTTTTAAGCAATATGAAAATCACAGCCCTTGAAAATAACAACACTAATTGAAAATAATTTTCCCTAATTCCTAAATTTTTCGATTGACTTAATTTCTGTCAATCTTTCAGGTTTTTAGAACGTAATAATCATTGTAGGAACGCAATTTCTGCAGTTTGGAAAACCTATCCTAATTAACGTTAGAGAAAACTGTATGCAGTCGTATATTGTTCTTGCATATTTTTTGTTCGACTTTCGTAAAGTTATGTTGTATAATAATTTTGTAGCGGTTTTGGTATAAAGTATGTTATTCAGACTTATTTATAAGTAGTTCCCAAGTCGATTTTTGTGAACTGTGAATGCAACTATGTATTTAAAGATACCTGCATTTATACTTGTATTATATATGCATGGAAAACATAATTTGATATTTGTAATGTTATACATAAGTTAATTAAAGATAACAAATTATCTTAGAATTTTTTTTCGAAAGAAATCATATCAGAAGTGGTTCGATTTGCCTAACATTGTAGTATTAATGGGGTTTACTAAGTTTCTGGATTTTGTGTGTCTGCTTAGTTTAAAGGGTGTTCATGTTTTACAGTCCCATCATTAAATGGATTTTATAATTAATTGTCTTCGAATTCTTTTTCTTCATATGAGCTTTTCTCAGATTATTTCTTTGTAGGACATTTTGAAAGTTTAACCAAATACTATTCCCTTATAAACTTAAGTATTTTTGCGTGAAATGGATCTAAGTGAAATTTAATTTTCTTAATGCGAGTTGTCAGACTCACCAACCAGTCAATTTTGATTATAAGATTTTAATATTGAACACCAACCAAAATTTATTTCCCATTTTTAATTCCTAAATATCTGTTAGTTCACATGTTTAAAAGAAACTGGGAACATTTCTGGTGGTTTTATTGAGCATCTCTGGCAAGGATAGCTCATTTGGTAAGCTATTTATAACTAAGATACCCAATTTCTTACCCTTTTTGTATTCTATTAATCAACCTAACACACAAGATGAATCGAGATGTCATGCATGCTTTTTATATTTAATTTTTTTGATTCCTTTTTTAAAGAATTACGTATACATATTTGCCAAGTGAAGAACATTTTGTAGCACTGCTAACGATGTGAACAATATAAATCTAAATGTGGGCTTTCTCTTATTAATGTGTTTAAAAGCGTTTGTTATCAAACGATAGAAGGACTGGATATTTTCAAAGCACAAAATAATCAACATTCACTGTTCCGGTTAGATACAAGATACTCCCCCTCTATCGGCTAATTGAAGTATTCTTTTCAAAAAACCTACAGCTGGGTTAAATGTCTAACAACAATAGATCAAGCACTTAATAAGCCTCTGCACCTGCCGCAATCAGAGAGCATTGACAAAAAACGTTAGCGCCAAACTGACTGGCCGCACACAACAACATATACTCGTTCACATAGGGTACGATGTTATATAGCCGTAGATAACGATAATTTGTACAACACACTTTCGCCTAATCATTAACAACAATTGCAGCAATTTGTCAACGCGGGCCCGCGATGATTATCGCCAAATGCGAACAAACATGCAAAAATGTTCAATTTTTGACAGACGAGCGGACGGGCGGGCGGCCGACATAGAAAAAAATGCACAACAGAATATAATAATAAAAAAAAGTTCAAAAAAGTATGCAAATGACTATAAAGTTTAAAACTAACCCCTGAATGGCAATTGGCAACCTACATTGTTGCCACTGTTGTTGTTGGTGGTGTTGTTGGTGTTGCAGCTATCGTCATCAGCCAGTCGCGCGTTAAATTCAATTTGTTAATTTACAAATCCGCAAAACTATTTAACTGTGTGCAGTAAGTGGGCGGGTTAAAGGAGGGAGTGAGGAAGGGCGTTCCATGGAGAGATGGCTGGGAGGCTGTCTGCTTTGTGGTTTTTGACATTGCCATGCAAACACAGTGACCATAGAGAGGAGGCTAGAACGAGGGTGCAAGTGCGGGCAAAGTTCAGCTCGAGGAGGGCTTTGTTGCAGTTACAACTTGTTATTATATATTTATGAGTGAATTGAGTGTGCAAGTGGCTCATATTTCAATAGCAAATACAACAACAGCAACAGCAACAACAACAATAGCAGAGCAACTGCTCTCGAGGGACTGACGCGTCAGTCACCGGCGACAGAGCCGCATT